TCACAAGAGGTGGTGGTCAATGGAAGGAACCATTATATGTCAGCTCGAACATGATGATGTGAGGTAATGGCTCAAGGCTTGTGGGATCCAAATTCAATATTTCTGTATTTTTACAGTAGATACAGCATAGAGAGGGTAGAGCATCGTGATTGCCAGTCAAGGGTGGTTGGAGTGTGAATCACCTTTCATCAGGTTGGAGTGTGAATCACCTTTCATTAAGAAAAGTCAACGCTGAGCACAGTGAATTGAGGGAGCGCGCCCTCGCCACCTTCTGGTTAACCCTCGGTGTAGCCTGATATGTGGAAGATCTCAAGCAGTCGTGAGGACTAAGGGCACGCAGAGTTTTAGCGAAATGGATGTAACAGCCATAGCAAGGAAGGAGACAGCGAGTTGGTCGCTTAACCCAAATTGCAAAAGAGGATGCTACGTAAACAAATAATTCGCAAAGTTTTTGAAGTTCACAAGAACATTTTCTATGCATTGGGTGTAATTTGTTGCGGGAATTACGAACCTAATTAATGCCTAATAAAAAACAGTATTGAGAACCTGATCCAAATCCGGACTGGGTGATAGCTCTGAGGAATCCCTCTTTCCAGGATACAGCTTTTTGTTACGCCGTTGTGCAGTACGAGTCGCAGAAACGCAGTTTTTCAGAAGAGGCTTCTTTGCAAAAAATCCATTTGCTTTTGAAGAGACGTTGACCGCACACTGCAAAAGAAAAGTTCAGATCTATGTAGAAAAGAACAATGCTGCTCTATTACCCACTGTCATTTGGTCCAGTATAACGCCAGTTTGGAGCTATACTGACCAAATTGGCGCCATACAACGACAATGTCGGAAAAGAATGTCGTCAAGAAAGCGACGAACAGCGGCAGCGCCAAAAATATTAGCATAAGAAATGCTTCACATATACACATTCACTTCACATGTCATTCAAGAGAAAAACAGTCGTTGCAAACTGGCATAATTCCGGGTCTGCGGGGAAATGGGAGGTCTAGTCGACGGAAACGAGCCGAAGCCGAACAAAATGAAATCAGACCCAAATCTCAAACTTAGCCATGAGTTGGTCTTGACATTCCACTAATTTTTAACGATTCCTCGTGAACTTTCGTTCACGATCATGAAGACCGCACCACGGGGTATGAGTCATATGTCCCGCCTACCTCGGTGGCTACATAGACCGCCCCTTTTCGGCCGTATAAATACCGCATTCTGAGAGGAACGGGCAGTTTTCCGGTACTTCGCCGGCAGCCGACTCCTCTCCAGCGACGGCCAACAACAAGCAATCCAATCCAATACCAATGCCAGGCAGACCAGCCGTGACAAAAGACAATAGCAAAAGGCAAAACAATCTAAGAGCACGCAGCTCAAATTAGGCAACAAGACACACAACAAATAGGCTTCACATCACAAGTACTGTATGTATGTGTTTTCATGATGTAATGTTCTTGTAGCAATAAAATCTAAAATGAAACCGTGCATGAACCACCAAAACAGCATTTTACCGTGATGCAGTCCGAACACGATTTGGCTTTAAAACATCTTGGATCACGATTTGACCATTAGGGCCCACCAACGAGATTTGGCGAAGAAAACTAAATTTGTAAAAGAAACGACGTGACTTTCTGGGAAACCCTACAGCGCAATGTTCAGAAGACGTCGTGGCTGAGTAGAAGATTCATCATTGTTGGGTTTCTCCGAGGGGTTGCAAGAGAGAATAGAGTTAGAGCTAGTTGACGGTTTGCCTAACTTTCGTCGATTGCACCCATTTTGCAGGCTTGAAATTTGAAAACTTTGCAATGAATGTAGAAGAGAGCAGACGAATTGCTTTCAAATGTTACATTGAAGGACTTGAAAACATTAGATTGTGAAAGAAGATTTTTTGCTTTTGTTCAAAGGAAAGCGACACTTCAAGGGTAAACACAAAGGCAAGCCCCGGGATTAGCCCGACCAGTAGGAAGGATACCGCGATGGGAATTTTAGGCTCCGTTTTACATATTCAGCTTCGTCGCACAAATGGCGTGATTAGGGCGCTATCCTAAAGAGCCTGCGACGCCGTCTTCCTTGATCTTCCCGTGTCGCCAACATAAAGCATCCGACCTTACTTAAGGTTAAGGCCTTAATTTTAGTGTTTCAGATGATTTCTCTTGCTTTCCTTTCCACTTTCAATTCATTTCGCAGCTCGTTCCTCACTACGAAGCGCTGTTGTACACCCGTTTTATCCTGAGGCTTGCCTTTGATATTAGGTTGTTGCACTATAAATGTCGCACCAGATTTAGCTTCACCCACTCGGCTGTGTCGAACATCCAGAGGTACTTAAGCATTCATTCGAAAGAGGAAATCTAGGAGTATAAAAGCGACTACTCGTTGCCCATATCATTTTGTTTTTTACAGGAATTTTTCTTTTGAACGATGACTGAAATTTCCGTGTGTACACGTGAATGTTCTACGACATCTTGAGGGGATGAATTTAGCTCACACGGTCACGGCAGGTCTTCGTAAACAAAAATCGACCTACATCAAACCATGCATTGGCTCGGCGAGAAAGAAAACAATGATTTTATGAAGTTACTTCACGACGAAAAAGCTGCATTTTACAAAAAATCACCAGCAAAAAAGTGCGAGACCAGGCTGAAAACATTTTACTTCTCCGCCAAACAGCTCTTGTCACACTCCATCTATGTGCTGCGCATCCGAGTCAACGCGGCACGTTTTGAAGGAGAAACAGTTCAGAGATTACAAAAATTCGGAATCTGGGTGTCCATGTTTACCTGCGCACAGTTGCTACGATTCTTCGAGAAGGAAGTCGAGTCTCTGCGTGAGGAATGGCGAAGCCTGGCACAATAAGGTAGTATCCATCTCTTCTTCTGAGATGCCGAATTGTTGCTGTTCCAACAAATTTTGTGGTACGTCCAAAAGCGACATTTATAATGCGACAACCTAATCAATGCTATACTAAACCAATTATTTCGCTATTGGGTAGCCAACAATCCGTGCCATTATTTTTTGAAACATGGTTCTCCACCAGAACTCGGTGGACACCTATACCCCCCACCATGGTTGAATGTTTGGAAAAACAGAAACACTGTGAAAAGGTCGGCCGCTTTGGATCGCCTATTAAACCTCCCATTTCGCGGACCTGCAACTCAATCATTAACCAACCTCGACCTAACAAACGAATGCGGAGGCTAAATGTAAAATGTAAGAAAACGACAGTGTCCATGTGACGGCCTAATAGATATCATCTCCATAATAAGCTCGTCAAATAACCCCACGTAAGGTGTAGCAAAGCTTTCGCAAAAGCCTCGGCACAACAAAAAAATTGGGGTTTCGTGTTTCTGATAGTGCAATAATGCCAAAAAATCTATAAAAATGTCTCTTCATGGAATTACCTCTCTGTCATCATGACGTGTCTGGTAATGGAGAAGCAAACGACGTGAATTTGCAAAAAGTAATGAGCAACGTTTACAGGACGCTGGAGATATAGCAGAAACATTATGGGCCTCGTCCAGATGAGATCTGTAATATGGCAAACGTGGCTCTTTAGGAAGATTGACAAGATAGCAATTCCGATAAATCGTCAATACCTCAGTGTCGTGTGGTGATTGAATTGGTTAAGGCAAAATGCAACCGGGCAGTCGAAATAAATTCCTGTTTTGATATGAGTCATTGAGTGTTCTTGCATCTAAAAAAGGTTAGTGGCTTTCTCATTGAATGTGGATGATGTTATATGGCTCTCTTTATGAGCCACGTACATTACAGCTAAAAGCATTTTGGAGGGGTCTTATACCTGGCGCCTAAAATTTCCCTTGTAGACAATTACGTCATGAAAATGACAGCCAACTCAGAGAATAACGAGTCTTTATTCAATGGAACTCCAATGAAATAACCTCCATTTATAGGGCCTTGGTCTCAAATACGACAAAAGCGTACCTTTTAATGAAGACATAGTTAATGTAATAAATTGCTAAGTCGCGATGCATCTGTATTCTTCAAGCTTTTTCTAGTAGGCACATACAGTAGCGCTCCAAGTCTTTGGCCAACCCATTTCCAGTCGTAACTTTTTTCTGCTTTATCAAATCAATTCAAATTATGATATTTTAGGAGAATGCCTTCTCGACTAAACTAGCATATCAGTGGTAGATGGGAGAAAGGCTTATGAATGAAAAAAATCCCTTCACTAGAAATTCTTCAATATGACCAATTTCTGAATTAAAATCTGATTCTGACGTTGCTTAACCCTTAGACTACGACTTTTTTAGAAACAAGTTATCGATGTGTTTTGTGTAGTAACAGTCGCTCCTAGCAACAACTAATCATCTGTAGAAATTTGGCTGACGCGCGCTGGGTTTGAGCTGGGATTCGATCCAGAGACCATATGCGCGGCAGTGGCCCCTCCTGTCACCACATCTCCGCTCGAATGAGCATTTTTGAACAGTTCAAATACCATTCAACAAATACACATTTATCACATCTCATTCGTGGAACAAGGCAATGTCGCACTTGAAAAGAATTGCAAGCCGCACTTTGTAGAAGTGCTGCTCCCCTGCCTACAGGCTGCGCCCACCGGCTGCTTCTCCTCTAACGAATTTTCGCTGGTTTTTATGCTCGAAAGCTGCGTCATCATAGGAGTGTTCTACTGCCACTTCCGCATCAAACGAACTGACAAAACTCCGGAGGTTGGAATTTAAAAACTACCTTTTCGAAAACTACCTTTTCGGGGCTGTGCTCACTGCCCAGTGACCTGTGGAACGACCTTGCTTATCAACTTATCCAGCGTAACTCGCTTAGACTTCTGATACTTCGCTGACAGAGTAAAAAACACCAAGTTTCTAGTTGTGCACAATTCCGCCATAAAGCGGGCCCTCCGATCTCAATAAGTGCCAAAACTGTGGTAGTGTCTTTGACTACGAAGTGGGACACATGTGTACCACCAGCAGTTAAAGATAAACTTTGTCATAGTAGGAATTAGAAAGCTTCTATATGTGCACAATTCAGCCATCAAATGAGCCCTCCTGCCTCAATATTCCCTGGAACTGTGGTAGTGTCTTTGACTACGAAGTGGGACACATGTGTCCCACCAGTAGTCAAAGGGTTAAACCTCAACAGGACTAACTTGATCGATGATTGCCCTACCTAATGGAACAACCTCAAATTTTCTTCGACTATGACGAGTTTCTTGCCCATTTTTCTAACTCCTTTTTTGCCAGAACTTTCCCTACCCCTTTCTGTAGTATCCCGATGACGCTTGAGATATTCAACTAAAGTTGTACCTCCGTCGAGGAACGCCATGCTGTCGAGAACACCGTTGCATAGTTGAGGTATGATGGCTCCCAGACAATACCTAACCATTTACTAACCATTAACCACCTCCCAGACAATACCCGCGGTGAACGCGTCCGAGTTGATAGGTGCCCGCGAACTCAGCACAGCACAGTTCGCGGGCACCTCGAGTGCGTTTTCAACGGTTCGCGGGCACAATCGACTCGGCCGCGTTCGCCGCGGCCGCGCCCAAATGGTTAGGTATTGTCTGGGAGCCGAGGATGATGCTTCGGATTACTATATTTATGGCAGACGACCAGTTCGGTGCAAGTTCCATACGCCTGAATACACAACACCTTCTAGAGCCTACCTCTATGCCTTCACCACTCTCGAATCCTGTGAAGTTGTCCGACGCGAAGTGATAGGGAATGGAATGAGTCTGCGCACACCTGAACTGGAGATCCCCACAGAGCTTCCAACGTCATCTGGAGCGACGAAAGTGAAATTCCGGAAGTTAGGTGACTACGACGATGCGCATATACGGCGTCCTGACGAAAACGCTTTGATCCAAAGGATGACTCGTTATTCGTGAAACCGGGCGGAGGCTCGGTTGAAGTAGCCCGTAAAAGAGTTGGAACTAAAGCGTAGGATTCGAGATGTGGTGAAGGTTGACGCATGAGGTGAGGTTCTATGAGGGGTTTTGTACTCAGGCGTATGGCACTGCACCGAACTGACTTCGTCTTCTAGCAATATAGCGATCCAAAGCATCGCACCTCAACTGTGCAAGAGCACTCTCTACAGCATTGCGTGCCTTAAACGAGGGACAACTGTTGCAGAGCTACATATCCTAAGCCTCATCGAGGCACAGTAGAAAAGGGTATGGAAAGCTTTGGCAAAAAATGAGCCAGGAATATGGGCAAGAATTTTCATATGCGAAAATGAGGAAGTAGCACAATAGGTGGGGCAATCACTCACCGGTTCCACACTTAGGCCGTGTTGAGGCTTTAGCAATTCAATTTATTGGAATTATCATATGTAGCTGCGTCTTGTTCATGTTTTCCTTTGGCTACTGATGATCCTAGTATATATTGGGTGTCCCAAAATTATGCGCACATATTTGCAGCAATATATTTTAAGCTTGCAAACGGAGAATGCCGATTGAATTTATATATAAGTTAACTCATAACATGTACAATAATATGGAACAGCCCAATACCGAAATATCCTTCCATGCAACGAAGTTCCGCACGCGTTGCACGCAGGCACTCCCCCTTTTTATTTCTTCCGAATATTCCTTCAACGCTGCTTCCAGTTACTCAAAATTGTGATGACGAACGACAGACCTCACTTTCACTCAACGACCACATTGAGAGGTGAGGTGGATACGGACCTGGTGAAAATGATGGCCATTCTTCGGTGTGAGCGAAGTCGGGCAGCTGAAACCGGCACCACTCTTGGATCAACTTGGCTCTGTGGGCTGGAGCGCTCTCCAGCTAGAGGCGTCTCGGGTTATTTCCATGGTGGGACTCTGACTGAACCTTCACTACGCTTACCTCAGGTGTCCGGGTTTGTTGATGTTTATACCGAAAAACTGACGGACTCTCCCCACTGGACGTGGAGTTCCTTCAAACCAGAACTGGGGCCGAGTTCGATGATCTGCAAACAATCTTTCCTCGTGGAGTAGCACTCTAGGCATTTCTGGCAGGAATGCAATCGTTCTGGCTATTGCGGATCCGCTCAGCTGCGGAAAATTTCCCTTTAAAATAGGAAAATCCCTTAAAAAAAGGAAAGAGAGATGCTGTCTCCACTTGTCTCCACTGAAGCAGGTGAACAATCTTTTGCATTTTCAACCCTTCTGACACTTGCTGGTATCGGAGATGAGATGGCAGTCCTGCACATAATAGTAACGATCATGAAGTTCTTCACTGCCCTACCAGCGACTTCGTTTAGTCAAGCTCCTTCGAGATTCTTCCAACGGAGCGTCGTCGGTTGCGGTCAATTGAGATCGGAATGTTTCAGTCACCCTTGCGGCAGATTGGCCGGTCTTTCTCCCTCTCGCAGGCCTATGCATGATAGGCATTGTTTCCTAGTATCGTCTGATAATCTTTCGCGTAGCCCTTGTGGGAACTTCAAAATATTTGCGTTGTCCTTTGTTGAGGGACCTGCCTCGTGCATGCGAATGGTCGCAGGTCGCACTGAAAGACCTTCCGCCATCCTAAAGATAGTAGGAGTTCCACCCCACCAATGAACCAAATTACAAGAAGACCTTCCTGCAGAAGTAATCGTCGGCAAATGAAGTGAAAATATTCGAGTTCTTTTGCTAAATGAAATTTTGAAGTAGCCCATAATTTTGGGACACCCTGTATTACATAGATAATCGGCTAAGTGTGTCTGTTGATGTGCGTGTATGTTTGACCGGAAATTCATAGCGCGGGCACCAGTGGTCGTCAGGAGTTGGTTTCAAGATATGATATAGGGGGTGGGAACATATTTGGTGGGGGTGCAAAAAGTGATAAGAACTGATGTGGGCTGATAAAAGTCTATAACTTGCAGGTTTATTATAACCTGCCTATTGTAATCGATTACGTCATCGTATGTTCTGCACCTGTGGCAATCGACTTGCAATCTTTGCAGTTTCTCGAAACACCTCACACAATATTATGGGTTAGACCAACTACTATATACCGTTTCGAGTTGAACTGGTAAACTATATCATAACATAGTTAAATGCCAATTATGAAGTATACTTTTTACAAATACAATAATGTTTGATTTCCTGACATGATTGAGAGAAAATTTTTTGTTACTTTATATTACAAGCCATATTAGCGTTTTTCTTTACTTGCCTGATCTTTTCGAAAAAAACGTTTTTTACAGTATCGGCACTCGTATGGTTTGACTCCGCTGTGTCTCATTCGATGTCGGTGCATGTTAGCCTAAGAAGCGAGTCATGATATATAGTGAGTTACTTTGAAAAAGGCATGACCTCACCTTTTGACTGAATTGCATTTGGCAAATATCGCATTGATACATCTGTCCTTGATGCCGGGAATGAGCATCCTGAAGTCGACCTATTATGGAGCACAGTGTTAAGTTGGTCAGTACAGTTCTTCTAAGAAAGACAAGGGAAATGCAGACGTGTGTAATGTAAGAGCAGAGATAATCGCATAACGCACACAAAAAATATAATCTGTGGACCTGTTGCGCAAAGACGGGGAGGCGGAGAGGGGATATGCTGTTGCAACAATTCGAAATGCTTCGTAATGAAAAAGAACATGTCTCATCCTGTACATAGCGGAAAGCATAGGCATTATTAGGGTGGTAAAAAAGTCCTGAGCCGTTTGACACTTTTTTGTTCTTTGCTTTTTTATTCCACGTAGAATGGAATCTACCCAACAATATAATCACCATTGCTACCCACTACAGAGTCCCACCTAATGTGCAGTTCAGCGACTTCCTTCTCCCAGAACAGAGCAGACTGAGAGTCAAAGAAATCGCTGACCGCTCTTCCAACTTCTTTACCTTTGGTGAATTCTTTCTTCGCTAGGGATCCCTTAAGGGGATGAGTAAGTGATAATCAGAGAGGGCAATGTAAGGGGAATAGGGTTGGGTGGGGAACCGCGTCCCAGATCAGCTCTTCCAATTCTGCACGGGTCTCTTTAGCTTTGTGGGGCCTGGCGTCATCGTGGAGTAGGTGGACAGAAGTTCGTCTCGGTCGTTTTTCTTGAACAGCGTCCGCTAGTTTCTAGAGCAGACTGGCGTAAATGCTGCCGGTAGCGGTATGTCTTTACGGGAGCATATCATAGTACAGCATTCCTCACGAATCCCAGAGGTAGCAAAGGAGACAGCTTTTGGGGTGAAGGTCCGATTTTGCTGTGTCGGCAGGCCCTCTCTTCGAGGGAGCCACACGGCACTGTGCTTGTTAGAATCGTATAGGACCCAACTCTCATCTCTCGTAATCACGCCTTCCAAAAACCCTTTCGGTGCGGGCAAAGAAGGAGAAACTGACAAATGGGTACCCGCCTGAACCGCGTGCTATCGGTCAAGACATGAGGAATCCATTGAGTCACCACTTTCCTGTGGCGAGGTCGTGAAGGGGACCGAGGACTGTGGGATGGGTGCACCCGAGTCTTATCACAAGGCTGCGGGTGCTAACGTCCGGATCCTCTTCGACAGCGCCGAGAACGGTGGAGTCTTCCACCTTTTGGGGGCTTCCCAACCTTGTCTTTTCTTTGAAAGCCGTGTCTCCTCCTTCGAAGCCTGCGAACCAGAGCTTGGCACTGATGATGGAAGTGGTGTCCCTTCCCAATGCGATGCTGATAATGTTGACGGTTCCCACTGCTCCTGTGCCGCAGCGCGATTCATTGAAGATGATCGCTCGAAAGTGTTCTTGTGGAATCACCATCATTATTAAAGTTAAAGAAGGCAACCCGGCAATATATACCTATGCGGAGAAGTATGATCGACAGCGATAGTCTATCACGTAGCAGATTCTAGGTATCGATCAATAAGCGAAAGTTCTGGAGCTTTCAAAAAATCGGCTCAGGACTTTCTTTCCATCCTAATATTATTCGAAGATTCTCGGGAGGAATTGTCTGATTAAGTGGAAACGCGGCGTAATTAGGCTGCTGTAACGAATACAAAAATTTCAGAAAATATTATATTTCAGCTTAAGCCCTGAGACAGAGAACAGAACGAAACAGTCAGGGCAGTTGATAGGACTTTAAAAAAAACGCTCGAAAAAGAAGCGTATGAAGGATGTCTTCGCTACAGAAGGAAGCTGAGTTGCAGTTTTTGACGTGTTTTGTTCTGTTAACTGCTGTTTTACCAGAAGATTTAGCACATTTTACAAGTGTTGACATAGTATACTGTGTTATTAGCTGCCTGGAAGCTTCGACAGATATCACCCCTTTAGACAAGTTTTCCTTTGCTAAAAGTAGATATCCTCTATTAGACAACAGACGCATATCTGTGATCTATCTGTGAATGAATAAGTACAAGCCTCTTGTGTCACTAGAGCAGCCACCTTGTTTTATTCTTTGTGTTTGAGGGAATAGTCCACATAAATATGTAGTAAACTAAAAGATTTTGTCAAAGAAACTAGAGCAAAATGCCCACCAAATGACTTCTCATGTGCTGTGACATAAACGTCGTAAATTTGCAGTGCGGACACACGTGGGCAGTTTTCCCTGCGATTGGTACTGTAGCGACTTGATCTTGACCAACGCCCGTCTAAATGAAAAATATGACCGTGGAAACACGCAATGTCCTGAAGGAAGAAATGTAAAACTTGCACAGGAGGGACTCATCACCTGCTGTAGATGAGCAATTTTCGCACAACATGAGCAACTTATGAATCGCTCTCTTTCCATTCAATGTCTTAAAAAAACAAATACCGTATCTTATAGTTACTGCACTTTCGTTGTGAGAATGCGTCAAGATCCAACATTTCGCGAGCAGAAACTTGGTAGGATTATCGAACATGGAAATTTTTGTGCAGCCTTGTTAAGTACATGAAGGAACAAATGGCTGTGAAGCGGAGTGAATCTGCCTCCTGCCCCCTGACTAGAAATGCGTTGGTCGCACAAACGTTTTGTAATACTGTCACCTTTAGTCAACCCGCTATTTGTAGAGGGTACAGCCCATCTGCCAATGTGTCTGTCTGATTAGGAGGTCCTCGACTGTCTTCTCCACCGGCAGACAAACTCTTTATTCCAATGCCCGCCCGAACGCCAAAAGCATCTCAGTAGGCCGTTGCCATGTCTCAATCATAACCCTTTATTTTCAACCAAAGCTTCAACGACTATGATGTTTATCTGCGTCACGCTTCTAATACCTAAAAATACCACTTCCAAATCGCAGGGAAATGTGGGCTTACAAGCAGATGATTCATTCTTTCACGATGTTATTCCCACATCCACGACTCACATGTCACTCAGCAGGTCTTCACCGGCATGTTGAGATCAACCCAACGATGACTTGGCCCAAGTTGGCATTATCCTTAACACCGAATCGGTCACGAGCACTTCAATTGATCGAAAGAGTCGATGAGTAAGTGGACTATGTGCAGCTCAAGTAGACCTACTTAAATGCCCTCACAAAGCACTGAACAAAGATACGATCCAACCATCCAGGTTGAATATTCTTCGCCATCAAACAATCAATGTTCTACTGCGCAAGTACTTAGCCAGCTTTTGTGTACTTACAAAAAATCTTTCCGAAATCCCCAGCTTATCTCCAAACGGTTTTGGCATCATAAAGGCCACGCAACGTAGCGTGCACTTTTCCGAGCGTCCCCTGAATCTCAAAATGGCATGAAGTGAGTCCGTGTTGCACATACAGGCATCATTATTTTCATGCTAATAGGCGTTCAAATTCGCGAAAAAAATAGATCACGAAAAAATATGTCATCTCATCTATATAGGTATCCGAGTTACAAGTCATGCTTAGTTAAGCAGGGTCATTGCGGAATATGATGTATGTCATGAGCGGCTCTAGACCTTAGCCAGTCAGCCTGTTTACATTTATAAAATCTATTTAAAAAAAAAAAAAAAAAAAAAAAAAAAAAAAAAAAAAAAAAAAAAAAAAAAAAAAAAAAAAAAAAAAAAAAAAAAAAAAAAAAAAAAAAAAAAAAAAAAAAAAAAGGTTGGGTTTATGCATACCCAGACCTACGACACATTTATTTTTATTTTGGTGTTTCTAGTATGTTTCCAGATGTCAGAAGACTCCAAGACGATCAGTGGGCGGAGCGAGAACGAGAGGAACAACGAGGATTATGCCGGCGTGGCCATACTGCGACTGGTCTCACCACGACCTCAACTCTGCCACTTGTCCACTTTCTTCATGATCAACATATCTTTGTTCTGCTCATGCTGTTTCTTGCCTTATGTCTGCTTGTTATTGTATTTACACATGAAGTTTACTTTTTTATTATGTCCAGGAGTTTATGTGATGTGACTGAGCTAGCTCGAGGCCTGTGAAGTAATTAAGAGGGGAGGATGCTTAGGACATCCGATCCTTTACTCCAGGAGGTTTTGGAAGGTAAAACCCGTATCGGGATCACTAACTGGGAGCTGAGATAGATCATTGACAGTAACAAACAATTATGCTTCACGATCCTTAAGTGGATGCTCTTGCAAGGAGGACAGTAAAGAAGGTCCACGCTGCGTTTTTAGTTCGGCTCAGTCTCAGCTAGAGATTCGGTCGCAATGGCAATGGTGATACGAGCTGTAGAACTCTAACTCACCCTAGACCTTTACCTACTCTCGATAAAAACCCCCCTCCCTGCCATGATCTGTAAGTGTACGCGATCGCTAGTATCAGGGATTTGTTGCAGGCACGTGGTCAAATCCATGCGCCATCGCTTGCCATCTGAATGGAAACGGCTGCAGCAGAATGAAGCCTCGATGGAAACCGCATGCACCGACTGACCATGACCGAGAAGCACGTCTGACCATCTGCGAAAGTCTTCTCTTGCTCACAGAGACGGGACTTTCCCTACTCGATCACCAATAATGATGAACCACTGTGACAACAACACGCGGGACGCATAACGGCTACCTCGCAGCCAGGACTCGTCTCAGGAGCTCCAAAGCTCAAACTCTATGTTTGAAGGATATGGTTCTTGATTTGTCAGATTAAGTAAGGATCTCGTTTTCATACCCGCTTTGTTATGTGTAGACATGTCTTGCACATGCCGTCGTGGAATAGCTCCCGTGGTTGGTCACAAATGCGAGAAAACTGTCCCAAACGTCTCAAAGTCCCTTGTACGAACAACCGCACATTGCAAAGATGACCCGCAATGCTTTGAGGGGAGTTGGCTGCACCACTTACATTGCTGACTCATCACTATCAAGCCGGAACCCACTCGAGTTCTGAATTTCCGGCCACAGGCCCTTAGGCCCTTGCTGAACGTTGGGCGCATCTCTGATGGAACAAGAGTGGCGACGACGAAACCTGAGAAGAACCACTCAAATTCCTTCAAGGCATAGGTCCAAGTTAATTGCGCGCCTGACAATCGAACTCTCATTTCG